TGAAGTAAGTCAGAAAGAGAAGGACAAATACTGTATGCTAACACATATATATGGAATTTAAGGGGAAAAAATGTTATGAAGAACCTAGGGGTAAAACAGGAATAAAGACACAGACCTACTGGAGAACAGACTTGAGGATATGGGGAGGGGGAAGGGTGAGGTGTGAAACAGTGAGAGAGAGACATGGACATATATATACTAACAAACGTAAGGTAGATAGCCAGTGGGAAGCAGCCGCATGGCACAGGGATACCGGCTCCGTTCTTTGTGGCTGCCTGGAGGGGTGGGATAGGGAGGGTGGGAGGGCGGGAGACAAAGAGGGAAGAGATATGGGAACATATGTATATGTATAACTGATTCACTCTGTTATAAAGCAGAAACTAACACCACTGTAAAGCAATTATACCCCAATAAAGATGTTAAAAAAAAAAAAGAAAAGAAATGGATAATCTGAACAGATTAATTCCTAGTATTGAAAATGAATCAGTAATCAAAAATTCCCTACTGGGGGCTTCCCTGGAGGTGCAGTGGTTGAGAGTCCACCTGCCGATGCAGGGGACATGGGTTTGTGCCCCGGTCCGGGAAGATCCCACATGCCACAGAGCGGCTGGGCCCGTGAGCCATGGCTGCTGAGCCTGTGTGTCCGAAGCCTGTGCTCCACAACGGGAGAGGCCACAACAGTGAGAGGCCCGCATACCGGAAAAAACAAAAACAAAACAAAAAAAAAAACTCCCTACAAGCAAAACTCCAGTACCAGACAGCTTCATGGGAATTCTACGAAATATATAAAGAAGAGTTAATACCTATTCTTCTCAAACGATTCCAGAAATTGAAGAGGAGGGACCACTTCCAAGTTTACTCTACTAGGCTACCATTACTCTGATACCAAAAGCAGACAATGACATTACATAAAAAGAAAATTACAGGTCAATATCCCTGATGAACATAGATGCAAAAATTCTGAACAGAATAGTAGCAAAACAAATTCCACAATATATTAAAATAATCATACACCATGATCAAATGGAATTTATTCCAGGGATGCAAGGATGGTGCAATATCCGCAAGTCAATCAATGTGATACACCACATTAACAAAAGGAAGGATAAAAATCACATAATCATCTAAACAGATGCAGAAAAAGCATTTGACAAAATTCAACATCCATTCATGATAAAAAAAACTCAACAAAGTTGGTGTAGAGGGAACATATCTCACCATAATAAAGGCCATTTATGACACACCCACAGCTTACATCTTACTAAATGGTGAAAAATTGAAAGCCTTTCCTCTAAAATCAGGGACAAGACAAGGATGCCCCCTCTTGCCATTTCTATTTAACATAGTTATGGAAGTCCTAACCACAGTAACCAGACAAGAAAAAGAAATAAAATGCATCCAAATTAGAAGGGAAGAAGTAAAACTGTCACTATTTGCAGATGACATGATGACAAGATACTATATATTGAAAACCCTAAAGTCTCCATCAAAAAAAAAAAAAGAAAAGAAAAAGAAATGTTACCAGAAAGGCACCTGAGTTAAACAGGACTCTCTCATTTCTTTACTAAAATTTTAACTTATTTGGAATCCAACTTCAATTTCATAAGTTCAAATTACCTTTGTGCTTGAAAACCTTTTTTCCCTGAGAAAGATTTAATTTATGATGACATCTAACATGCTTCAGAATGTTAAAAAAGGATTGATATTTTAGACATTGACAGACTATATGATGAATGTGTAGATGCAAAGGGCCTAATTGACTGGCAAATAGCTGGTTTACCAAGACAGCCTCTAGTACTAAGTGGATGGGCATTTTTTGGAGAACTGAGGACTAATTTCTACAAGTCTAAAAATCTGCTATTTCTAGTAAGTAATATTTAGGAGTACTCCATACTCAAACACTTTTTTTGAAAGGATATTTAGCTTGATGTCATCACACTGGACTGACACCAGGAATCAGTCTAATGTAGGCTTGATAAGAGCAGAGATGCATATCAAAATGAATATTATGTTTGATCATATTCAGTTTTACCGCTACATAAAAGAAGGACGTCCTACAGTCTGCAGGCAGTTCAGAGAAGTATTATTAGAAAAGAAACAAAGAGTAAAAATATCCTACTCTACTCTGGTGCCAAAAGGAACATTTCATTGTAATTTTTTTTATTAAATATAGGCAATAGATAATAGCTGTTTAATTTGTTTTATTGTGTTTACATTCTTCTTTTTTAGTCTTACATTTATGTATATTGAAAATATACAATAATATGACCTAAAAAATTTAAACAACCAAGAGTTGAAATAAATTGCTGTGACAGGACAGAAATATGAAAAATATGGTTAAAATTAATTAGTCCTATTAATTACTACTAATTGCCACTGTTAAGTAGTCCTATTGTTGTATTTAAATAGCATGTATGTAACAGAGAAGTAAATACTACATAAAAACAATTTTAAATGAACATCTACTTTCATATTTTTATATTACAGCAATAACACATGTATACAACTATTTATTACATCTTATGGGTCTTTTCATCTAGTACAGCTGTGTCCCAGTTGGCTCTCTAAAGGTTGGTCACCCCAACGGTACAGTACCATTTGGGTAGGGGAAAAAGATATAAAGAAGGTAATATTTGCAAATTAAATAGACAAGAAACTGGTAAACAGTGATGCCTTCTGAGAAAGAAATGAGTGGCTGGAACAAGCCAGAGAGGCTTTTTCTTAGTTTTTAAATATATTTTAAAATATTCGTACCCTGTGTATATGCTACCTATTCGAAAAACATTAGTCTTACATAGAGGTTCCCTGCACTGAGCTGGGAAAGGCGCTTGCGTAGCAAGAGGATCAGTGTTCCTCCCGGAACCACAGTGTTAAGAACACGTGGGTAGTGGGGAGACCTGCTCAGAGTTCAATATGGCTGTGTGGTGGACGGATTCAGACAGGCCCGATGAGGTAAGACTGTGGCCAAAACTGAAGGGCCCGCCAAGCCCCAGAAATCAGTTTGAATTTGTGTGTGTGTGTGTGTGTGTGTGTGTGTGTGTGTGTGTGTGTGTGTGTGTGTGTGTGTGTGTGTGTGTGTGTGTGTGTGTGTGTGTGTGTGTGTGTGTGTGTGTGTGTGTGTGTGTGTGTGTGTGTGTGAGGGAAGCCATTAGAGGGTTTTAAGGAAAGGAATGCAATTATTTGGTTTATGACTAAGAGATCTCTCCGTTTGTGTAAAAATGTGGGGGAGCACAATTTCGGGGTCCTCTTGCTGTAGCCTTGGTAATTAGGGCTGTTAGCTTGGACCATTAGCATGGTAGCACTGGATGGAGATGCGGAGCCATGGACAGAGGTTTTGTGACTTTGGGAGGTCACCCTGACAGGACTTGCTGCTAGACTTAAGTGTGGCTTGCTCGGGAAAGAGCATAACATGGCTGACGGCTCTTCCCGCCTGGGTGGGTCAGAGTGCATTTCTCAGAAATGGAGGGCGTTGGTGGATGTTGAGGAGGAAGAAAGAGTTCTCTCTGGGACACTTAAAAGCCAGAGACAGTTAACTGATGCATGTTTTTTGAAAGACCCTCGGGCTGTTCTGTGGAGAATGGGAAGAAGGCATTTGGGGCTCCAGCGGCGAATCTTTCAGGCTGTCAAAGGCTTTAGCTTTGCATCAGTATGAAATGAGCAATTATGAAAGGGCTTTGAGTGTGAGGAGAGCAGACCATAGGGTAGAGTTGCCAGATTTAGCAAATAAAAATAGCACAATGAGGTGGATAGACCTAGAGTCTGTCATACACAGTGAAGTAAGTCAGAAAGAGAAAGACAAATACCGTATGCTAACACATATATATATGGAATTTAAGGAAAAAACGTCATGAAGAACCTAGGGGTAAGACAGGAATAAAGACACAGACCTACTAGAGAATGGACTTGAGGATATGGGGAGGGGGAAGGGTGAGCTGTGACAAAGCGAGAGAGAGGCATGGACATATATACACTACCAAACGTAAGGTGGGAAGCAGCCGCATAGCATAGGGAGATCAGCTCGTGCTTTGTGACCGCCTGGAGGGGTGGGATAGGGAGGGTGGGAGAGAGGGAGATGCAAGAGGGAAGAGATATGGGAACATATGTATATGTATAACTGATTCATTTTGTTGTAAAGCAGAAACTAACACACCATTGTAAAGCAATTATACCCCAATAAAGATGTTTAAAAAATAAAAAAATATAAATAAATAATAAAAATAAAAAATGTCATTGGAATTTTGGAAAAAAAAAAAAGAGAGAGCACATAGGGCTTCCCTGGTGGCACAGTGGTTGAGAGTCCGCCTGCCGCTGCAGGGAACACGGGTTCGTGCCCCGGTCCGGGAGGATCCCACACGCCGCGGAGCGGCTGGGCCCGTGAGCCATGGCCGCTGAGCCTGCGCGTCCGGAGCCTGTGCTCCGCAACGGGAGAGGCCACAACAGTGAGAGGCCCGCATACCGCAAAAAAAACAAAAACAAAAAGTAGCACCCAGTTAAATTTGAATATCAGATCAACAATAAATCATTTCATAGTATAAGCATAGCCCGTGTAATATTTAGGATAAACTTATGCTAAAAAGGTGATCATTGATCTGACATTCAAATTTAACTGGGCTTTCTGCATTTGACCAGGCAGCACTGCGACAAAGGCAGGTGGATGCAGGGACTCTGCAGACATTCAGAGAGAGGGAAGGGGCCAGGGTGGCTGCAGGGGACGCGAGGAGGGGCCCCAGAAAAGACAAGGGTGGCCCTTTTCGTGTACTTTTTCGGGGAACAGCTCTGGGAAGGCGAACTTATCAGTCTTCCAAGCGTTGGCCGAAGGCTCTTCGGAGGCTTCGGTGCCGTGGGCTCCCCGCTAGCCCGGCCTCCCTCTGCCTCCGCGGGGCGGGCGGGCGGCTGGGAAGCGGCAACCAGCGGAGCAAAAGGACCGGCGCGGTAATCCCGCCCTCCGCGCCCGCAGGGGTGGAGCCTGAGCGAGGAATCCGCGAGCAGTTCTCTCTCCCCAGATGACGAGCAGCAGGATAACATGGAGTCGGGCAAGATGGCGCCTTCCAAGAACGCTCCGAGAGATGCCTTGGTGAGTGCGAAGGATGCGAGGCGGGGTGCGAAGCTGGGCGCGACCGCAGCCGGGGACCTGAGAGGCGGGCCTGGGGGGAGGACCTGATGATGGGCTCGCGGGTCGACTTCAGCCATGCCAGGGCCGCCAGGAGCTAGTGATTCGAGTGCCCTGGACCCCAGGGCTCTCTCCCGCCACCCCGGCGGCGCAGCCGGAGGGAGGCTGGCGGCCCGCCGGATGCGCAGGCCGGCCTCCCGGCTTTGTCACCTGGGCCTCGGGCCCGGGCCGCCTAGTCGTCCCGCCCCGTCTGCGAATCCTGGCTCGCGCCTCCAGTGTTCTAATGCAAAGCTACCCCAGTCGCCACATCTGAAAATGACAACCAGCTGTAACCACCCCTACCTCGACTGGAAAAGCCAACCCGGGCCTTTTTCTTCTCTTTGCCCCCGCCCCCACCCCCACCCCTGCCAAAAACAAAAGATTTCAGCAAAGAGATCAAGAAGAGATTTGGTGTGAACCCATCTGAAAATGACAACCAGCTGTAACCACCCCTACCTCGACTGGAAAAGCCAACCCGGGCCTTTTTCTTCTCTTTGCCCCCGCCCCCACCCCCACCCCTGCCAAAAACAAAAGTTTTCAGCAAAGAGATCAAGACGAGATTTGGTGTGAACCTGACACTCGCTTGGGAGGAAAAGGATAAGTACAAGTTTGGAACCCAGAGAAGGGGGAACCTTGTATCATAAATATAATTACTACCTTCGGTCCAGTCTTGATTTCTATACCTAGATTATGCATCTGGAGTTTTTATTTGAATCCACAGGTGATGGCACAGATCCTGAAGGATATGGGAATTACGGAGTACGAACCAAGGGTTATAAATCAAATGTTGGAATTTGCTTTCCGTAAGTTAACAAAACACCAAAATTGCCTAACTTGTGAATTTTAAAAATTGTTCATTGTAAGAACATTTTCAACCAAAATACTACTAACAGTTAATGTCATAACATGTCATTATACACTTTTCCAAACCCACAAAATATAGAGTTCCAAGAGTGAACCATAATATAAACTATGGACTATCAGAGATTATGATGGGTCCGTGTAGGACTATCAATTGTAACAAACGCACCACTTTGCAGGGAACATTGATAATAGAGGATGCTATGCATGTATGGCCTCAGGGAGTACACAGGAAATCTCTGTATATTCCCCTCAATTTTGCTGTGAACCTAAAACTACTCTACAAAAATAAAGTCTTAAAAATATGTGAAGAAAAAGAAGAGTTAATGTTATAGAATTCAGAAAGCAGTAAAAAGGAGCTCAGGCTAGGGAACAGTATATTGTGATATCTGTTTAAAATTGATCATATAGATAGGACAATTAGATATTAGAACCAAAATTCATAAACTTTCTGGAAATTAGTGAAACTTTTTAAGAAAACTGGCCATAAATATTAATCTATTTTCATATGTTTTAAATAATGTTTTGTTTTTAAAGGATATGTGACTTCAATTCTGGATGATGCAAAAATTTATTCAAGCCATGCTAAGAAACCTAATGTTGATGCAGATGATGTGAGACTGGCAATCCAGTGTCGAGCTGACCAGTCTTTTACCTCTCCTCCCCCGAGAGATGTGAGCAAAATTTTATTTGAAGTTCATTTTACTTATAATTTTTAACTGTAGTTCTAATAAGGATTTTTTTTTTTAGTTTTTACTGGATATTGCAAGGCAGAAAAATCAAACCCCTTTACCACTGATTAAGCCATATGCAGGACCCAGACTGCCACCTGACAGATACTGCTTAACAGCTCCAAACTATAGGCTAAAGTCCTTAATTAAAAAGGTAAGAATTTTTTGTCATCTTAGCTTTTAAAAAGGGTAAGATCTGTTAAGGGTAAATAGTGCAGTAAATTAAAGGCTAAGATAATTTACTAGGACTTTTTAAAATTTAGTTCCTTGAAAATACTATGTCTGCAATTAGCTACTATGTTAAAATATAGAATATATGATCCAAGATTTTTAGGGCTAAAAGGAACTTTATTGTTCATCTAACTCATCAGGAAAGTGAGCCCGAACTCATCTATGAAGTTAGTAGCAAAGTTAAGACTGATTCCCAGGTCTCATAACTCCCAATCTTTACACTATACCATAACAGAGTAAATGATATACCATCAGGCATTGGACTTGCTTTCTGAAATATGACCTAAGGCTCTCCCACCACTGAGAGTTCTCCCCACATTGGGCTACCTCTGTACCTCTGAAATTCCACTATAAGGAAGTTTCTTACTGGGTTAAGATATTGACTAGTTAAGATTAAAAAATCATAAGTTAGCTGTTATCCCCAAATGACACTCTACCTCAAACTTTATATAGAATTATATATTTTATATATATATTCTTATCCATGTTTATATAGATATGTATTGTTTGTATTATATGTGTGTATATATATAGATATTTGTGAAAACCCTAGTTTAAATGTTGCATTAGAACACTGAACAGAAACAGGACATTCTTGTCATCAATTATCTATTAATAATTCACATCAGCAATCCTAATTTCATTTCCTGCTAAGTTTAGGTGTCAAGTGTGAACGTTAAAACGAATTTGTTTTTTAAATCCCCTAGGGACCTAACCAAGGAAGACTAGTTCCACGGTTAAGTGTTGGTGCTGTTAGTAACAGACCTACCACTCCTACTATAGGTAAGTGCGAGAGGGAAATGGCTTGTCTGGCTGATAAAGAAGTGCCTCAGCACTTGATTTTGAACTGTAATCCAAGTAAAAAGGTGAGTCAGAAATTCCGATATGTGTTGCCATTAATACATTTACTCGTCCTCTAGTAAAGCTATAAACATATATTTTATCAGATTTCAAAATGAGAAAGCGACAAGGAATATCTGATCCCAAATGAGTATAGAATTGGGCATTACCCAACATTGTTGCCAGTATTAACTATGGTAACAAAAACAGAAGTTTAAGCAGTGTTCTTTCTGGGTTTTATACAAATAAAGTTGCCAGACTCACTCACAGCAGTAGCCTACTTATTATCAGAAATTAAATTTCTGAGTAAATTGGCAAGAGATGCAATCAAAAGAAGTAAGTTTAAAGTATACAAAAAGCTTAAGACTATCAAAGAAAATCATTTTTAATATAACCTTTTCAAAAGTAGTACTGATTATCCTGTATTGGTCAGTGAGCACCCCTTCAGACTGTTTCCTGTGTCCTTTGTGACAGGTCTCCATCATTCTTTGAGCATTTCTTGCTTCCTGGCACAAGATGTTCCAAGCTCATCTTATATTTTCCTTACCCCAGTCCTAGAATCAGCCGTTTCTCTAAAGAACCCTGGTTCCTCTTAGTGGAGAATGGCATTTAGAAACCATAATGTCATTGTTGCTTAGATAATAAGGAACACATGAATAATGGATTTAGATTTCCTGATTTTTTTGTCCTGTGTTCCTGCTGGATTTCTTTCATAGTCAAAGTCTTTTCAGAAAAAAAATCCCCTTCTCTTTGACCAGTATTGATTTCTTAGCTCTTATAACTTGAGTACTATAGATGTCATATAGCTCTAGTGTAAGCAGCATTTGATTTTTGAGATGTGTAGACAACCTCTTCATATTTTCAGAGTGTGAATTCACATTTCAGCATTTTAAAACCAGACTGGTATAGTATTAATTGTACACTTCTAATTATATGCATGTGACCTGTGTAGACAGGAGTTTGCATATATAATTTGTGTAACTTTTTGATCATATACTATATATCTGTGGGTTCATATCTCTTAAGTGAATACCAACTTTTTAAAAACTCTAGGCTGTGCTAATCAGTTACATGTGTTGGCAAGTTAACCAATTTTAGTTATCAGTTGTGATTTTTATTCCTAGACATTTATTGTACATGTTTTAGAGACTTTTAAGTCTAGAGTGAGGGAGCTGCTAAAAACTACTATTAAAGATGCAAGTTTTAAACTTTAAAAAAAATTTAAATGAGTTTCATAAAGCATAAGACCTAAGCATATACTCTGTTCAATTTTAAAACCTAAACTCCATACTTACATAAATGTTAACAATTTCCTTATGGTAATGGACAAGAAAACATCCACCTACTGTGAATTTTCTTGACAAAATAAAATACTTATATTGCTTCATTAAGCTTCACCAAATTCTTTGGACCACTCCTTAATACATGGAAAACTTACCTAAAGATGGAGATATGTTAGGCTTCTGTTAGATGCATGTTGATTTAGCTTCATGGGCATAGTAGACACCTCCTAATTCCCAGCAAGTGACAGAGATTAAAAGTGCCACATAAGGTAATTAATAGAAAACTTGGGTCTTTAATTGTTTATTTAAATGTTCAACTTCATGACTTCATGTAGCTAAAATTCAGTGCCAGATGCTATGTGAAGAGTTTTACATGGATTATTTTAATTCTCACAAGAATCCTACGAAACAGGTATTGTTATCCCCATTTGATAGATGAGAAAAGCACAAAAAGATTAAATAACTTGCCCAAGGTCACTCAGCTAGTAGGTGGTAAAGCCTGGATTCAAACTCAAGCAGATCTTTCATTAATTCCCTGTGCTTTGAAGGTAGTTTCTGGTAAGCTAAAGGAGAGAAATTGAACCTGTATAATAAGTCACCTAACTAACATGGTCTGTTAATTACAACTACAGCAACCCCACAAACAGTGTCTGTCCCAAATAAAGTTGCACCTCCAGTGTCAGTGACAAGCCAAAGATTTACGGTGCAGATTCCACCTTCTCAGTCCACACCTGTCAAACCAGGTAACATGATGGGCAGGGCATGGGGGATTGAAAGTGGTTCTTTTAAAATATTTTTCTGAATTTTAAAATTTCTGAATGATTCGTGATAACAGAACAGTTTGTATTCCTATAGCAATAATTAAATTGTTTTAATATCGTAACAGGAAGGTGGCCGTAATGCTGCAAATCTGGGTTCTTCCAAGGGGGTCTATAAACCCACTAAAATTGTATGAAATTTTACATATATGTAACATTTTGGGGGGAAGGGAGAGATTTCAACATGATCATCAGAGTCTCAAAGAACCCTATGAACTAAAATAAGTTATGGTCTACAAATCTCAGGCAAAATCACTTAGGGTTAAAGCTCAAGAAAATAATACAACTTAGTATATATCCAATGAAAACTGTACTTTTATTCACTTCACGGAAGTATATGTAGAAAGTTAGAATAATATAAGTAGAATTCTGTTATAACATAGTTTATTCATGAATGTTTAGATTTCACATCTTCTGAAACCTAACCGTACACCATAATATTGGTCTGTAAGGAAGCATGATTCCTGACCTTGAACATGTTGCCTTTAGTATGTTCCATGATGAATCCAGTGCACTGCTTCCCATGACTGAGAACTAATTGAAATTTTAAGTAAATTAAAAACAGGGCTTCCCTGGTGGTGCAGTGGTTGAGAGTCCGCCTGCCGATGCAGGGGACACGGGTTCGTGCCCCCGTATGGGAAGATCCCACGTGCCGCGGAGTGGCTAGGCCCATGAGCCATGGCCACTGAGCCTGCGCATCCGAAGCCTGTGCTCCACAACGGGAGAGGCCACAATAGTGAGAGGCCCGCGTACCGCAAAAAAAACAAAACAAACAAACAAACAACAAAAAAAAACCTAACAGAACTTCTTTAACCTTATACTAGATACTAATTTAAGTACTTTAAAGCATTAAAAAATGTAATTTAACTCTTAATGCAGTATAATTATGTTTCTTCTGATACAGTTTTACTTCATGCTATTGAAATTGTTATTAAAATTACATTCAGCTTTGTTGAATACTTTTTACTCTCAGAAGCATTATACTTTGTGTACTCTTGCTTTATGTCTCATTTTTAATTGAACATTAAGGGAATGTAGTATTTTAATCATAACTCTTTATCTAGAGGCCTGTAGCCATTTTTGTGATTTATGAAATTTTTGTCGCCAAAAAAGGCAGGATTATGTTTTTCCCTTCCAGATTGAGTTGGTATAGTGTATTCTTGGCTGTCAAAATACTCATAGCTTTGGGACTTTGAAATGGTAAATATTCATGATGTGTGAAAAAGCATATACATAACTGTATGATCTTAATTACATAAAAATGGATGCTTAGTTATGTAGATACACAAACGAGACCTAGAAGGACACATCAAACGGTAAACTGCTTGTGATTATGGATGACTTTGTTTTTTGCTTCTTGTGTTTTTTGGTTTCCTATTAGGCACATGTTAACTTTTAAGAAATAAATGTTATTTTAAAAACCTTAAAAAAAGAAATTATTATTAGAATTACATTTCAGCTTTGTTGAACACTTTTTACCATATGTTTCTGATTCTGTGTAGTTCATAGTTTGGGGGTGTTTTCTTCTCTGTTTACAGTTCCCGCAACAACTGCAGTTCAAAATGTTCTGCTTAATCCTTCAATGATTGGGCCCAAAAATATTCTTATTACCACCAACATGGTTTCATCACAGAACACGGCCAATGAATCAAACCCATTGAAGAGAAAACATGAAGATGATGACAATGATACTATGTAAGGAATATAGTGTAGTCTCTATGCATTTCAAACGTGTAGTTGGTTTTGAGCCCAGTATACCAAACTAGAACATTCTTGATCGAAAAGTTAAATGTAGCTGCAATATCACCTTAAAGTGTTATATTTATTTCTTAAGGGTACCAATGTTTTTTCATTAAGCTTCAAGTATAAAAAGTTAAGTGCTTGTTTATTAATGGTTTCATTAATGTTGAGTCCTGCTCTGGTAATTCTATTTTTGGAAGCAGTTTTCTGCAATGTATCTGACAGCAACACTTAAGTTTCACTTTCTACAGCCTGATCAGTGGACTAATCTTTAACAGCATAATTTCTAATCTATATTTAAATACTTTTGTAAGATAAAATAGTCACTTTTATTGTCACCAACTTTTTTGACCAGATCTCTCAATTTAGCAAATATTGTTGGAGAGGTTGGATTTAGAGGGATTCTAAATCCATTCTGAATATATTTAAGCTGTTTCTTGATGTTCCCTAACCTCCCACCTCCTCAGCCCCGTTTCTAGATCCCATTCATTTTCTGCACCACCTCCTCCCCACAGGCTTACGTTTCTCCCTATTGCTCTTAAATTTAAAAGGCCAAAACTGGAACTTTAGGAATATAATTCCTGATAATACGGCTCAGTGTCATTTTCATAGTTTTAAAACCTGCTATATTACATGCCTGATGGTCTGTGGTTCACTTTAACCAGAAGGTTTGCATTTGCTGCTTTTCTCTCCATACCAGAGCAGTTGGGCTTTATCCCTTACCTTTTATGCCCATTGAGCATTACTCTGCTTTTGACAGGTAGTTTGGGGTCAGTTACATTCAGTTTCAGTCATATTCCAAGTTGATAACTCCACCATATTTCACAATTTGAAATTTAACACGAAAGATGCTATAGCTTAAAATCTGCCTTGATAAGTATACTTACACTGGACCTAGGCAAAAACCACTGAAGAGGAAGTGTTTTCTTCCTTTTTACCATACATATATATGCTTTGATCACTACTGCTTGAACCCCCCTATTGGTATAATTCAGATTTTTCCAGCTTATTGCTGAGGATGTCACACATAAGATGGGATCAAACCTGAAAGTTTTCTAATGGTTTTCCCTACTCTAGAAGGCCAACACAAACAAATTAGTGTGATGTGACTTGCGTTTAGGTGCATTCTGCATAGGCTTCCCAGTAATGTTGCTAAACACCTTTCCCTATTTTCCATTTATACACATCTAAACACCCTATTGAGAAAGACTGCAAAGCTTTCAAACATATAAACAGGCTTGTGTTGTTTTTATTTAAGTAAGTTTGACATATTCAACATAGGAATACTTTTGCAGAATTTCTAAAACAAATTTTTATATCATAATTTAGAACTTATAGCCAAGGATCCTCAAAACTTAAAACACAAGTAAGTTTCATTTTAGGATGGTGCTTGATATATCAAAGAGAAATAGTCCAGTAACAGGGAAGAAATATCTCATCAAAACTGTGATTCAGTGTTTTTGGATATTAGGAAAAGGTGATACCAGACTTATAAAAATAGATCTGATCATCATAGGAGAGAAATGTTCATTATATAGCATAGGATGCCATTACTTGAATGTTCTCAGGGAGGCATGTCAGAAGGCCTAGGTTCTAGTCCTGGCTCCATCGCTAACCAACTGTGTGACCTTACTTCACCCATGAGCCTTGTTCTCCTCACTAGTAATAGGAAAATAACACCAACCCTGCCTACCTCACAGGGATGTTGTGAGGGTTTAATTGGTATATGTGAAAGTTCTTTCAAAATTGTAAAAATGCTATATAACTCTAAGGAATTGTTAACATATTTGTTCCAAGATTATTAATAAACAATTGAACTTACTGTATTTCTCACTTTTGATTTAAGGGGTTCAAAGAGGATGAACAAGGCCCAGTAATTCTGAGGTCCAAAAAGCAAGATTTGCTTAATGGATGATTATAAATCAGGGAATTGCTTGCTTTTACTTGGAATCAGCATGTGACTCATCATAATGAAGCAAAATAAATATGAAAGGATATGGGTTTAAATCTGTTAACATAACATGCTCTGTCTTTAGTGGGAATTTATACATATAATTGAGGTTGCAATCTGAGTGTTCATTCTCTTAGCCAGCCAGTGGGTGGTTTGCCCTTTCAGATGAAGACTGCTTTATCTTGCAGATCTCCCTTTCCTAATTACATCCACCCATTCTAGCATCAAGAATGACTTAAGGGACTTCCCTGGTGGTATAGTGACTAAGAATCTGCCTACCAATGCAGGGGACACGGGTTCGAGCCCTGGTGCAGGAAGATCCCACATGCCGCGGAGCAACTAAGCCCATGCACCACAACTGCTGAGCCTGTGTTCTACAGCCTGCAAGCCACAACTACTGAGCCCACGTGCTGCAACTACTGAAGCCCATGTGCTCTAGGGCCCACATGCCACAACTACTAAAGCCCATGCACCTAGAGCCTGTGCTCCACAACAAGAGAAGCCACTGCAATGAGAAGCCCATGCACTGCAACGAGGAGTAGCCCCCGCTCACTGCAACTAGAGAAAGCCCACATGCAGCAATGAAGACCCAACGCAGCCAAAAATTAATTTTTTTAAAAAAAGAATGACTTAAGGCAGCTCTTGTCCTCCGGCTTCTAGGTGGAATTTTTTTAAAAGATGTACTGATAGTAAATGAGGTGAGGACACTGTTGTCCCAAGTTCTTCCTTCTACAAGTAGGAAACAAGTGTCTTTGATCTGAGTAAGAATATAGGAATACAGCCACTATGCAGGGAGAATGGAAGATGTGGCCTAAGGGGTCCAGAATAAAGAGAAGTAACTCAGGAGGTAAGGAAAAAAAACATCAGAACGACAGGTACAAAGCAGTGTGTGTAATTATGCCACCATACACCAACACACACGTGCACACGCATACCCTTTTTATATGCATTAAGTAGCTCGAGATTGAAGGAAACCAGTCTTACAGTGATTGGTTGCTTCTAAGAAGGGAAACTGGTAGCTAAGGGACTAAGGTAGGAAGGAGTCTTCTCATTGTACTCCTTTTTGACTTTTGTATCATGTACTAGAGGGAAGTTTTGGACATGAAAAGGAAAAGAAAGGAAGCAGGAAACACTGAACTAAAGAAGAGACTGAACTCATTTAAGATGATTATAATTTTTTTCTATATACAGGCATACATATGTTGTCTGGGGGTTAAAAGTGAATTTGCTACACTTAAGCCTAAACCTTTGCAGTGTTTTATCAATAATTCATAACTCTGTATTAAATCAGGAAGCACATACTTGTACAATTCTAGTTTACATACGCATAAATTGTTTGTTATATACTATCTTGCTTGACTAGGTTGTAAATTCCTTCAGGAGATAACTGCTATCATCTTATACTGCCTCTATTATGTCCTGAGCATATAGCAGGTACTCAAAATATTTGGCTGTTTGCATTTCCCCATTCATTTTCTGGATTAATGACCGAAATAAATGGGGAAAAGATCCTGGAAGCAGAGTCTGGTAGAAATTACTTATAAGGTACAATCAGGGGTTGATGGATGGACGAATGGCAGTTGTAGAGTCTAAGTGTTAGGTTTATGGGTGTTTACAATTCTTTCAATTCCTCTGTACATTTGAAATAATAAAATGTTGAGGGAAAGGTAATTAGTAGGGGAAGAAAGTCATCAGTATGCTAAAGTTCTGGCCCGGCTATGACATTAATTCTCTGGATCAATGCGTAGCATCTCTGGGCCTCACCTACAAAAAAGATTGTACTAGAATTCCTGCATCTCAAACCAGGGTAGAGCATGACATTAGAGATGTGCAGAAATACGGTGTTCTTAAAAATTAACTACAACTGTGGTGACAGTATTAAAATACAAATGAATTTTTAGAAAAAATTCAAGCCTTCAAAATTTGTTTTGTTTAAAGCAGCCACCAAAATTTTCTTTTGCCGTTCCCTCCAGAGTTAAGCAAAAAAGTCCTAGTCTAGAATAATCATTTCAGGGAGTGAGGCACACTGAAAAAGCACCAGCCTTTGGAGTCAGACAAACCTGGATTTGAATCCCTGCCGTTACTGGCTCTGTGATCCTGTCCAATAGTTTAACTATTTCTTTATCCATAAAGGTGAAATACATACTCTAGTATGTAAAATGCCCAGCAGAAAAATTCCAGTTAAACACAGCCTTTTGAAATTGCACCATTTACCTCTGCTCATTCCTGAAACTCCCATTAAAATGACAGGAAAGAGAAAGGGGGGAAAATTACAAGGACAATAAAAGAATAAGAATGTCATTGAAATCACTTTGGCCTTTTGGCTAAGATCAAGTGTAGGATGTCATTAGATTTTCAGCAATGACAGTGAATCAAAGGCTTTAAGTATGAGAAACTGATAGGTAGGCTGAAATTCTACATCTAACCAAACAGGCAAATATAAGAGTTGAATAAAGATATCTTCAGACATACAAAAAATTTTGCCTCCTATGCTCTCAATTTCTCAGAAAGCTAGTGGAGTCTTGTATTTCACAAAAAGGAGAAGTAAACCAAGAAAGAGGGGGAAAACAGATCCAGGAAAGGGAAGGTTCAACACAGGAGGTTAAAGGAATCCCCAAGAGTTACCCCACAGGGATTTCCTCTGGAAACAGGAAACCCCAGGGCAACAGCTGTACAGCCAACATAGGAGGCAGCCAGTACAAACTGGAACAGGAACACAGGACTGCAGAAGGGACATCTCTAATAAAAATGAACCAACTGTCCCATATGTTTGAATATGTTGGGAATGAATCAGTGATAGATACATAGAAAAAAGGAAACTAATTTTTAAAACTATTTTTAACTCCAAAGAAAATTAAAAGATACATAAGTAAATATAATCATGGCATATGACATAGCTCAGCTGTGAATAATATTTATAATCACAATGTAGACTCTTGATCAAATCTAAAATTATGACAAAACTGTACTGGGAGAATGAAGAAGGGGACATACATATGGAACAGAGGCTATAAGAGAGCTAAATCTTCCCATGTATGAAATCAAGAAGTTAACAGTTTAAGCATGTTACTTAGAAACATGGACGTAGATATCTGATCCCCTCCTCAAGATTCTGTTCTCACCCTAACAAAATATGACAGGAAAAAAATCCCAGTTTCAATGGATATTTTTATTATTTATTTAATAGATCACCAACTTCATCTACCTCCTTACCAACAACTGGAATTTCATTTTGTTTCCATGCTGAGTGGTGAAACTATGACAAAGCTAATCAGAATAAGCTACTTCATAAAGAGAACTAAGCTAACACAGCTCACTTTCTTTTAACAGGCATAATACAAATATATGCACTCTAGAATGCACAACGGTTTAGTCTCTAAGAAATTCAAATGGGATCTTGAAGAATGTAGGCAAAGCCAGGGTGCAGTAAAGATGAGCTGAGATG